CCATGGAAACGCCGATGATAGTGCCGCTGACCTCAGCAGTGATGTTGATCAGACTGTTGCTCCTTCTGAAGATGACGTCAAGGCTCAGATTCATAGTCGAAGATTCCGAGAGTGAGTTTTATACAGTTCACCTTTCTCTTCTGTCCTCGAAATACAACAGTTTTACATTCGATGCATAACACTATTTTTTATTTTTTATTTTTTAAACATATTTAATCACAAATTTACCCCAAGAGCAAAAAACTCATCGAAGGGGTCTATATATCTATTTACAAAAAACGCTGTTTCTGAATACCACGGACTCATTTGCACAGGCTTAGCCTCGTTTATCAGTCAGCTATTCACAGATACTATTTAAAGTCCTTGGGATTTCAAAAACATTGGTATTGCTCAAGCTGCATATTCTTTACATTAAAGCTGACTTTTGCAAATGATTGTACTTGAATCTATTGCTCAAACCAACATGGACGCTGTGTGAGTAAGGCTTATGGTGAACACCGCTTTCTATTGCTCAAGATGGGTAGTGATAGGTGTAATAATTGTTCGTTTTGTTCTAGGTACTGTGATAACGTGATGGATAAAGAACTCAACAACACTACACTACAACTGCTACAGAAACTGGTCATGTTCCAGGACAGACAGTACCACAGGGATCCCGTCAAGGTAAAAATATCTAAACTTTATTGTTGCAAATGAGTAAAAGRCTTTTTGGTGGTGTTTTGGAGGTGTTTTAGAACTTCAACACTTCGTCTTACGAAAAAAAAAGAAATAAAGGTGAACTAGCAACCAATCGCAGCCCGTGCTATGAACGGTAATCACTCTAAGGTGTCACAGTGCTATGGATTAAAGAATGTTGTGGGTATTTTTTCAGTCCAAAGCTAAGCGACGTTTCGTTGTTGGGTTACGAGAAGTTACCAAGCACCTGAAGCTGAAGAAAATCAAATTGGTTATTATATCACCCAACGTGGAGAGAATTAAGAGTGCAGGTAATGATTGTCATCATCATCATTATGATCATCAACATCATCTGTAATCGTCATTTTGCATCATGAACATCATAGCATCATCAACATCATAATTATCATCACTATCATTTATCATTGTCATGTATCATCATCATGATGTTTCATCATACAATACAATAAAGATCATCATCATCTTCATCATCATGCATCATCATCATATATCATTACCATCACCATCGCTTTCATCAAACAAACACCACCAAAATGAGTATTCTTTTCCAGGATTGTAACAGGTACATTGTACCTTTACTTCCATCCATTATATTTCTTCCCATCTTATTCCACACATATTCCACGATCACTTTTCTTTATTCCACAGGAGGCTTAGATGACACTCTTCATAACATCATTAGTATTGCACATCAGAATGGGGTCCCTGTGGTATTTGCATTGCGACGTCAAGTCCTTGGTCGAGTGTTACACAAAAAGGTCCCTGTTAGTGCCATTGGGGTCTTTTATTACGATGGTGCCGAGGTATGACTTAAGTAAATGATCCTCAAAGATTCACAACTTGCATTCACTCGGGCTATTTATCTAGATACAAATGTTTTATTAATCTTTTACTTCGTTCATATGACAGGATGCCTTGGTAAAGTAATAGTGTACTTTTTTTGCCAGGATGAGCATAAGAAACTCATGGATTTGACAGAAAAGGCAAGGGACGTTTATGCACAGAGATGGAAAACAGCTTATGAAGAACTAGTGGAGAGAATTCAGAAGGAGAGGGCTGTGGAAATGTCACGTGATGTTCAAGAGGAGGGCTCATCATCACGTGATCAGTGTGGGGAGAAGGCAGGTTAGCAACTATTTGATGGTAAAACAATAAAGTAAAAGTTCTGTCGTTTTTTGAGTTCCAAATAATTACCGCTGTGTTCCTTGATTACAGACTCTTTTACTCAGCTTAGCCTCGAGTCAGTGTCTAAACAATTATAATACCAGCGGTAAAGTAAAAAACGTACAACTTCAACAATACAAACACTTTGAAATTCCATGGACCTTCACTGGAGCACGTGAATATTCTAAACAAAATCGAGGCTAACCTTGAGCAACAGAGAACTCAAAACTGGAGTATTCAAAGCTTCAAAATAGCTTGAAAAGYTACCATTGAAAATTATCTTGAGAAGAGAAGGTGAAGGGAAAATACAAAAGATATTGTACAAATTCCATCAAGAAAAAGTATTATATCTTTAAGTTGTGTTTTTGTTTTGGCCTTGCATCCAAGATAATTTTATATTGACATTTAAATTTAACCAATTTAATTAATTTAATTAATTTAAGTTGATCAAATCTCAAAATACATTGCGATGATATTCATTTTTCATTCATTGAACTATGAAAGATGGAGTATTGGATTTTTTGTCATCCTAACATTTTATTTCTTGCAACTCTTCTACAAACGTATATGAAACTATGAAAGATGGAGTATTGGATTTTTTGTCATCCTAACATTTTATTTTTTGCAACTCTTCTACAAACGTATACTTTAAAAACTGCTTCCATGTTTCAAAAAATGGAGAAACATACCCAAATTCTGTGTTGAAGTAAACCTTCATTTTCAGAAATTCCAAATGAAAGCAAAAATGAAATGAAACAAGAAAATGACAAAGTATCTAAAGATAGCTACTGTGGAGAAATGAGAAAAATGGAAGATGATGAAGAATCTGAATGCAATAGAAATCAAGAATATGAATGTGAAAGAGAAGAAGAAATAAAAGATGAAATCTTGGAAGTAGATATACCAGAAGAAAAATGGAAAGATAAAGAATATGAATGCATAAGAAAAGAAGAGAATGAATGGCAAAGAGAAGGAGAAATAAAAGATGAAATCTTAGAACAAAATGGAAATAGCTCAGAAGAAAGTGAAGATAAAGATGACTTGGAAAYAGAAAACATTGGTAGTGACAAAATGGAACTAGATGAAACAAATGAGAAAGAAAATGAATGGGACGTTAAAAATCAGTCTGTTTCCATTGAAAAGGACTTAAGGGTGGAAGAGCTATGATAAGAGATCGATCTGCTTTGACGTCATGCATTTCTAACTCACGARACTTCATAAATGATGTATTACCAAGAGTGAATGTAATTAGTAGGCTGGTAGACCTCATTCGTATTGGTGCAATGTTTGTCCGTTGTAGACTACGTGTCATTCTCTAGAGTATCATTTCTTTGTTTAAAGACTTCATACGAGGAGACACATGAATATGGATACAACTAAAACAAAGCAGCTAGACATGTTTGGAAGACCATGGTCATTTTATTCAATCAGCTTCTGTTTATTATTATATAATATTATAATAGAATATTATTATCATTTTTTTTTTTTTTTTATACGGTTGGTACGTTGACAATGGACAACTTCAACAACGTGGCGGCGAAATTTGACGACGTGGCGGCCATCTTGAATGGCAAGGCATTATGGCTCGTCACCCAGGGGACAAAGCAAAACGAAAGATGCTGAAATGACGACCCCATGATATTTGAGAAATTTCCTCAGTTGTGGAACTGTCGACCGTTATTATTTTTTTAATTCATCTCTTATCAAATTGTCTTGTGGTAACACACCTTTTCTGAATTCGCTTGGATGACCACGAAACAATGGTTGGAAGTCGAGACTGAACTTGGTTCTTTTATTCATCAAGTTAAACCATCACCTCGACTTGAAACCTCGTGACCAGTCAAGCGAATTCGGGAAAGGTCTACTGTCAATGACACTTGACGTCAATACTTTAACAAAGCTTTAAATATTTCTCCTCTTGACGACCTATAATGCCTTGCGATTCAAGATGGCCGCCACATCGTCAAATTTCGTTTTAACAATAGACTATTAGTGCAATAGTCCTTCTTTGCTCCAGAGATAGCATTTGTTGATTGGATTCATTGGGCTGTTCTTTCTGCACTTGAATGCATTGGCGAACTCACAGGAATTTGCCAACGAACCGACAATCCTGTTAAAAGAATGAGCAATTGATAAAGATACGACGTTGTTTGATCGATGTCAGTTTTCAAATTATCAGCCAATGAACAAACCTGAATTTATCATCTGTTTTACGGAGTTCAATGTTCTGTTTTTTTCGCTGTTCATCGGTAGCGGAACTGCAATATTTCTGCGGTAAAGCAATCAAAATGAGCAAATCATATAGTATTGATATTTACTAGCCCAACGAAGTATACTGATAGTAAAAATAGTATTTGTTGAGAGCGCATGCGCAGTAAAACCATAAAATAAAAACGAAGAAAATCCATCAAAATTGTACAAATTAGTGCAAATTTTTGTAGGTTTACAGTATACTGAGGTCTACTATTTGTTTTATTAGTTTTAATTGACTCCGACGAAGGACTAACGTCCGAAACGTCAGTCTATTATCTTTCGTATTTACGGTGATAAAATTATCTACTCCGACACATTTGTTTCAACTAAAAAACACCGACGCAGTCCAAACTAGTTCCAAAACTAGTCGTTATCTACATATTAGTTTTAGATTTCGCTTATCAGTGACTAGCCTCGTTTACTTCACTTTTTTTGTCCGAGAATTTCACAGAATCCTCATTCATATTGATCGATTATAGTGTGCAACCAAGAAAGAAATAATAGAGAAATAAATAGATAAACAAATAGATAAATAAATAATTAAGTAAATAAATAGAGAGCGTGACGTCACAGCGGCCATGTTAGAATACCAAACCCATGACATTTTCTATTCCCTCTCTTTTAAACAAAAACTGTGCAGGAAATTTCTATCGGTTGGTGAAACAAATATGGTTGCCTTTTTCGCTTGTCACGTGAGTAAACACGTTCCATCGTTTGGTGAAATGAGTAGATCCTGCGAGATGGCAATAGACAAAATACGTGTCACTAACCTGAGCATATCCAATGTAAAACAGCTGCTCATTGGTCAAATTCAGTCCTGGTAGCAGCCATTTCTTAATTGGATTTTGATTTGCCCAGTTGTAATACGCCTGAAAAAAGTACAATTTATTACATGAAATTTTCGCTACACTTTAATTTCGCGTAATTTTGCGATTTTCGCGATTTTCAAAAAATCGCAAAAGTCAGTCGAGTCGGGGTTTTCCCCTGCGTTGGACGCTTGGCTAGTGGCACGAGTTTGAAGCGGTCTACAATCCGCTCGTACCAGGCAGAAAAACCAACACTCGGTCGACTTAGGAGAAAATAGAGAAACTGTTGACAATCTATCCCATTTCAGACCACGTGTCATTTTCTTGAGAATAAGATTCTTTGTTTGCGTAGTATCCATATTCATGTGTCTTGTCATGCGCAACCGTTAAACAAAGAAATGATACTCTAGGGAATGACACGTGGTCTTGAGAATAAGATTCTTTGTTTGAGTTGTATCCATATTTATCTGTCTTCTCATGCGCTACCGTTAAACAAAGAAATGATGCTCTAGGGCCTGACACGTGGTCAGAAATGAAGAAAAAAAAAATTGGCCAAAATCGATATTTTCCTTAAATAACGGGAATTTCTGGATGCTTGGCACAGAAAAGACATTTTCTCGCCCCATGTCTCCACGGCCCTGGCATCTCTGAGGAACAAGTTGCTYGATTTTGTTATTAAATACATTTACTAATAAATATAAAAAATAAAAAAATATTCATAAATTATGAAATAATGATTATTATTATTCAACATTATTAATTAATGATAAATAATTAAAAATTATGAAATCTACTGGTACCTTTAGTGCTACTTTCAAAGCTCCGTTGTCTGCAACATTATATGAAGCTTTAGTTTGTCCGTCGATCTAATAATACAAGGTCCATCGTGTTAGCCACATAGAGGTTATTACCCTCCTAGTTGTAGTCTCGGGTAAGCAGCCGCTACTCAGGGGAGAGAAAGCGTTGCGTGACGACACTGAGAGCGGCTGTGGGGGAGACTATCCTAGTTGTGTATAACAGCCGGATAATTTTACGCGCGGCCTTATTTTTTCGAGCTCCGCAGGCAAATGAGATGACGTATACACTCAATTAAAGAATCGTTGTCGGGTTCAGAAACATAGAACATAGAATCTGAGACCGAAATGGCACATGGGAAGTACGTTAATTAGATGCATGCTGTGACCGGCGACACGTGACATCATCCACTGTTTTCATACGCGTTTGGCTTTCTAAACCGACTGCGTGAATGGTGTAAATGAATAAATTATAATATATTTATGTCATTTCCCATGTGCCATTTCGGTCTCAGCTTCTATGTTCTATGTTTCTGAACCCGACAATGATTCTTCAATTCAGTGTATTCCAGAATGTGTAACATTTTGCAGTGTAATTTAAGACAAGTGTTCTGAAGTGAAATAACCTAGAAGTGTACAAAAACCATATATTTCAGTTATAAGGATGATTTGCAGATGAAAATAAAGACAGCAATACTTTCCAGAACAGAATTTTTTTATAATAAAATAGTCTTGAATTTACGTCATCTCATTTGCATATTGATATTTGAAATATTTAGAAGACCACATACAAAAATACTGCAACCTTGCTATTACACTGCTCACATATTAGAGATTTTGAGTTTTTTACCGAACAACCAAGTGAATTTCCGTGACGATGAGAAAATTATTTAATAGACCTTTTTCTTTTCGGCTTGGGCGTAATTTTTCTCATTTCAGACTAAGTGTCATTCCGTCGAGAATAAGATTCTTTGTTTGAGTTGTATCCATATTGATGTATGTTCTCGTCTGCAACCATTAAACATTGGTCTGAAAAGTGAAAACATTAATACGCCCAAGCCGGTTCAGCAGCGTAGCAAGAACTTGACCATGGAGTGGCAATGTCCCATTTTCTCGCCAAAACGAACGCGTACGCGTTTTATACATCTTATCGTTGAGTTTCCAGCCAGGACTTGACCATGAAGTGGCAATGGCCCTTTTTCCCGCCAAAACGCACGCGTACGCRTTTTATTCATCTTGACGTTGAGTTTCCCGCCAGGACTTGACATGGAGTGGCAATGGCCCTTTTTCCCGCCAAAACGCACGCGTACGCGTTTTATCTTGACGTTGAGTTTCCCGCTATTACAGGTTTAGTACTACGTTTTTGGGGAGGAGTGGGCGGGGAGAGCGCCGCTCCTCTCGCTACGCCGCGGGCTTGTTCGTATTCAATTAATTCTTACAGGCCATTTCCCTAGAATCTTGTACGCTGAGTATTGCTTAGCGTAGCACTCTTGTCTTTTATCAAATTCTTTAACCGAATTTTTTCCCCATTTGACTTTAGCTTGCAGTCCGTCCTTGTCAAATGTTCTACCTGCGGAAGCACATTATGTCATGATCTATTTGCCATTCCATAATTGATATTGATAATAATAATAATAATAGTGATAATAATAATGATGATGATGGTGATGATGATGATGAAGAT